TATATACACACATATATATATGTGTGTGTATATATATGTATTGGTACCAATATCATGCTGTTTTGGTTACTGTAGCCTTGTAGTATAGTTTGAAGTCAGGTAGCGTGATGCCTCCAGCTTTGTTCTTTTTGCTTAGGATTGTCTTGGCAATGCAGGCTCTTTTTTGGCCCCATATGAACTTTAAAGTATTTTTTCCAATTCTGTGAAGAAAGTCATTGGTAGCTTGATGGGGATGGCCTTCAATCTATAAATTACCTTGGGCAGTATGGCCATTTTCACGATTCTTCCTAACCATGAGCATGGGATGTTCTTCCATTTGTATTTCGTTGAACAGTGGTTTGTAGTTCTCCTTGAAGAGGTCCTTCACATCCCTTGTAAGTTGGATTCCTAGGTATTTTATTCTCTTTGTAGCAATTGTGAATTGGAATTCACTCATGATTCGGCTCTGCTGTCTACTATTGGTGTACTTGTGAATTTTGCACATTCATTTTGTATTCTGAGACTTTGCTGAAGTTGCTTATCAGCTTAAGGAGATTTTAGGCTGAGATGATGGGGTTTCTTAAATATACAATCATGTCATCTGCAAACAAGGAGAATTTGACTTTCTCTTTTCCTTATTGAATATGGCTAACTAGAAAAAACAGTGTAGAGAAGATTTTAAATGACCTGATGGAGCTGAAAACCACGGCATGAGAACTACGTGAGGCATGCATAAGTTTCAATAGCTGAATCAATCAAGTGGAAGAAAGGGTATCAGTGATTGAAGAACAAATTAATGAAATAAATCAAGAAGTTTAAAGAAAAAGGAGTAAAAAGAAATGAACAAAGCCTCTAAGAAATATGGGATTATGTGAAAAGACCAAAGCTACATTTGACTGGTGTATCTGAAAGTGATGGGGAGAATGAAACCAAGTTGGAAAACACTCCTCAGGATATTATCCAGGAGAACTTCCCCAACCTAGTAAGGCAGGCCGACATTCAAATTCAGGAAGTACAGAGAACATCACAAAGATACTCCTCGAGAAGAGCAACCTCAACACATATAACTGTCAGATTCACCAAGGTTAAAATGAAGAAAAAAATGTTAAGGGCAGCCAGAGAGAAAGGTCGGGTTACCCACAAAGGGAAGCCCATCAGACTAAGTGGATCTCTCAGCAGAAACTCTACAAGCCAGAAGAGAGTAGAGGCCAATATTCAACATTCTTAAAAAAAAAAGAATTTTCAACCATAATTTCATATCCAGCCAAACTAAGCTTCATAAGTGAAGGATAAATAAAATCCTTTACAGACAAGCAAATGCTGAGAGATTTTGTCACCACGAAGCCTGCCTTACAAGAACTTCTGAAGGAAGCACTAAACATGGAAAGGAACAACCAGTACCAGTCACTGCAAAAACATGCCAAATTGTAAAGACCATAGATGCAATAAAGAAACTGTATGAACTAATAGGCAAAATAACCAGCTAACATCACAATCACAGGATCAAATTCACACATAATAATATTAACCTTAAATGTAAATGGGCTAAATGCCCCAATTAAAAGACACAGACTGGCAAATTGCATAAAGAGTCAAGACCTATTGGTGTGCTATATTCAGGAGACCCATCTCACGTGCAAAGACACACATAGGCTCAAAATACAGGGATGGAGGAAGATCTACCAAGAAATGGAAACAAACAAACAAACAAAAAAGCAGGGGTTGCAATTCTAGTCACCGATAAAAAAGACTTTAAACCAACAAAGATCAAAAAAGACAAAGAAGGCCGTTACATAATGGTAAAGGGATCAATTCAACAAGAAGAGCTAACTTTCCTAAATATATATGCAACCAATACAGAGCACCCAGATTCATAAAGCAAGTCCTTACAGACCTACAAAGGGACTTAGACTCCCACACAATAATAATGGGAGACTTTAACAACCCACTGTCAATATTAGACAGAGCAACGAGACAGAAGGTTAACAAGGATATCCAGGAACTGAACTCAGCTCTGCACCAAGCAGACCAAATAGACATCTACAGAACTCTCCACCCCAAATCAACAGACTATACATTCTTCTCAGCACCACATCATACTTGTTCCAAAATTGACCACATAGTTGGAAGTAAAGCACTCCTCAGCAAATGTAAAAGAACAGAAATCACAACAAACTGTCTCTCAGACCACAGTGAAATCAAATTAGAACTCAGGATTAAGAAACTCACTCAAAACCACACAACTACATGGAAACTGAACAACCTGCTCCTGAATGACTACTGGGTAAATAATAAAATGAAGGCAGAAATAAAGATGTTCTTTGAAACCAATGGAACAAAGATACAACATACCACAATCTCTGAGACACATTTAAAGCAGTGTGTAAAGGGAAATTTATAGCACTAAATGTCCACAAGAGAAAGCAGGAAAGATCTAAAATTGACACCCTAACATCACAAAATTAAAAGAACTAGAGAAGCAAGAGCAAACAAATTAAAAAGCTAACAGAAGGCAAAAAATAACTTAGATTAGAACAGAACTGAAGGAGGTAAGAGACATTAAAAAACCCTCAAAAAATCAATGAATCCAGGAGCTGGTTTTTTTAAAAGATCAACAAAATTGATAGACTGCTAGAAAGACTAATAAAGAAGAAAACAGAGAAGATTCAAATAGACACAATAAAAAATGATAAAAGGGATATCACCACCGATCCCACAGAAATACAAACTACCATCAGAGAATACTATAAACACCTCTATGCAAATAAACTAGAAAATCTAGAAGAAATGGATAAATTCCTGGACACACACACTCTCCCAAGACTAAACCAGGAAGAAGTGGAATCTCTGAATAGACCAATAACAGGCTCTGAAATTGAGGCAATAACTAATAGCCTACCAACCAAAAAAAAATCCAGGACGAGATGGATTCACAGCCAAATTCTACCAGAGGTACAAAGAGGAGCTGGTACCATTCCTTCTGAAACTATTCCAATTAATAGAGAAAGAGGGAATCCTCCCTAAATCATTTTATGAGGCCAGCATCATCCTGATACCAAAGTCTGGCAGAAACACAACAAAAAAAGAGAATTTTAGACCAATATTCCTGATGAACATCAATGCGAAAATCCTCAATAAAATGCTGCCAAATCAAATCGAGCAGCACATCAAAAAGCTTACCCACCACTATCAAGTTGGCTTTATCCCTGGGATGCAAGGCTGATTCAGCATACACAAATCAATAAACATAATCCATCACATAAACAGAACCAACAACAAAAACCACGATTATCTCCATAGATGCAGAAAAGGCCTTTGACAAAATTCAAGAGCCTTCATGCTAAAAACTCTCAATAAACTAGGTATTGATGGAACGTACCTCAAAATAATAGGAGCTGTTTATGACAAACCCACAGCCAATATCATACTGAATGGGCAAAAACTGGAAACATTCCTTTTGAAAACTGGCACAAGACAGGGATGCCCTCTCTCACCACTCCTATTCAACACAGTGTTGGAAGTTCTAGCCAGGGCAATCAGACAAGGATAAAGAAATGAACTTTATATTCTTACAGTCTCATACCTGTGCTTAAACAATTGATTGACTTAATGCATTCAATAAAGACCACTAAATAGGATGGGGAGTGGTGGAGAGAGACAGGGAGGGAGAGAGGGAGAGAGAGAGAGGGAGAGAGCCAAGAAAGTCAACTGGTGAATAGTAGAAAGGGGATGGGGGAACAAGCAATTCTTCCACTATTTGTTGTCTAGCTCAACATAGTCAGCTAGTATAATCCAGCTAGTTGTTTCTGCTGCCTAGGAAGGTTATTTGGGTTTTCCAGTGGGCACTGTCTTGATTATGTGATCATCCATAGTCCAGAGTCTCACTCTCATCTTGGTAAATGCAGAGACATAATTGAATCATGACACCCAGAAATGGTCAGGCTCTTATTCACTTGCTCAACTTTATCTACTATAAAATTTATATACCACTTAATATATAGGGGAGGTGATGATAATTCCTTTCCAGGGATTCAGATACACAATTCCATAATTTAAAACATCCCATTAATGATATCAAAATCCATAGAAAGCCAAATTAACTTCCAGATTTCTTGGTTACTATGGAATTTCAGCAAAAGAACCTTTGGAAGGCCTAGCCAATTTCCTTTTAAGGAGAGCTCTCAACTTGCTTTTATTGTATACACACATACCATCTTGTGTATCTCCTTTATAGCACTTGATCTCAATTTATAGTAAATAATTTAATGTATTTTTTCTAATACAAAGTGTTCTGCAGAGATTTTTTTCTTGTATAAACATAATTCCAATTCTTATCACAGTACTGGACCTATAGTAAATGCTCAGATTGTTGAATAAATGAATTTATATTCTACTAGAAAGAGGGTTATGCTAACCTCCCCTGATATCCAAAGTCAGGAGTGGAAACGTGCTAATATGTGCATTTGTAGTGCCCTCTTATTTTTTAAGACTTATTGAAAACAATTTTTGTTTGTTGGAAACTTTTTATTTATGATTATTATTCAATTAAATAAACTACAGCTTTTTGTGTATACAGGAACACATACCTTATTACATTTTGCTATCAGTTTTCACTAGGCTGTACATGTTCCTATTTATAGTATAGAGAAATACCATATCTTAAATATTTTTGCAGATAATCTCAGACATCAAGGTATATTTTATTAATTCAAACACCACAAGGTGACTCTATTTGTGAAGTTATTGGATGTAGGATGGGGGAACATGAAAAGTGTCAACTTACCACTCACTGGTCTATACAGACTTCACTGACAATGATAAAATATCAGATGCAAATTGGGAGTCTTCCAAAAAAGCAGCATTTTATGGTTTTTTTTTTTTTTTAATTATTTCACTCATATAAGTGTGAAAATGACTCTTAGAAAATTTAGGGGGACAGCAAGTCAGATGAGGAAAGTATATTCAGTGATATTTGTGTATCTTGGCACAAGATATAAACAAGGAATTATGCTCAACAGAAATTCTTTACTTTACCTCCTTTATTTCAGCCACTACCAAGTTTCATATTTAGAAAAATAATATTGTATGAAAAATATATCACTTCATTTATGTTTTCTAGTATCTCAATAATATATGTGAAATTTCTCTTATAAAACATAATGGGTTATGTTTTCAGTGTGCTTTGGCTGCAAGTGACAGAATATGCAAAATAAATAATGAGTCTATTTATAAATCTCTCATGAGTAGAAATTCAGAGACTATTTCATGGTTACTGATGAGCCAGTTCAGCTCTGTCCGTCATCTGGGTCATCTCTGGGTTTACCTTGTCTTTTCCTTCATGGAGGCAAGATGGCTGCTTCATCTTCAGTTATTTTTCCTTCACAACATGCAAAAACAGGAAAAGAGAGGCAAAGTTTTACTTTGTATGTGTCTTGATCAGAGAAAAAAATCTTTCCTAGATGCCCACTGTATATTTCCCTCAGCTTCCATTAGTCAGCTCTAGGTTACATTGTCTTCTTTAGTTGGCTTATTTCAGAAGAGGGAAATAAAGACACTTAAACAGAAATATGAACAACGGTGTCTTCTAATGATGAGCTTTGTGGCCTATAACATTTTCCTTATGGCTAAGGAAAAAAAGGTTCAAGTGATGCTGCATTCATTATTGTATATAATGAGATACATTTGGGGAAAAAAAGCTAGGGTGTCTTGAGCTAGATTTTGCTACTTTCCATGAAATATTGGAAGCATCACTTCTAAGCTCATTTGAGACAGTGCTATGATCTGTAACAGCAACAATTATTACTATCATACATTTCATTAAATCTTTCTAACAAATTTCTTAGGGACACTTTTATTATTATGAAACATTTATTTTTGTTTGTTTGTTTTTGAGACAGAGTTTCACTCTTGTTGCCCAGGCTAGAATGCAATGTCGCGACCTCAGCTCACTGCAACCTCTGCCTCCCGGGTTCAGATGATTCTCCTGCCTCAGCCTCCCAAGTAGCCAGGATTACAGGCACACGCCACCACGCGGGCTAATTTTTGTATTTTTAGTAGAGACTGGGTTTCACCATGTTGGTCAGGCTGGTCTCAAACTCCTGACCTCATGATCCGCCTACCTCCGCCTCCCAAAGTGCTGGGATTACAGGCATGAGCCACTAATAGTAAAGATTTAATTATTATTGAAATATATTCAATTCTCAACATGATTGGTTGTTTAAACATTTTATAGGTTTCATTTTACATTTCATATCATTATGAATTTATCACTGCTCTTAGGGACTTACTTTGTGTACCTTTTTGGTATGACTGCAATGTGGGATCACTACTGCTTATATACTTTTTCCATTTTCATTCTGTTAATTAGTTCTAATGTACAATACAAATAGAGAACAAGAGAACATTTAGGTAAGAAATAATTAGTATTATGATAGAAAATTCTTATACATCAAAACACTTAAATAACCATGCTTTTTCCATAGGGAATTGTTGAAATAATTAAAAACTAAAATATTTGATCTTTGGGTGCATCCTTCTCATACACTTATATATAAAAAAAGTTTCTTTACTCCTGTAAAAGTAATTCAGGTTAAAAATTATAGTTTTAGAATATCCATCTTTTCTTTTACAAACTAAGATGGAGTATCATATGATTCTCTCTGAAGTTTCTATAGCTTCTTTCATTGTCTCCCTGGGACTTAACAAGCACATCTTATGAATGAGCATTAGATACAAGCATTTTTATATGTCATTTGAATAAATTTATATCTCTACCTGTTGTCTGGAAATATGAAAAATGTTTGCTTTCTTCGGTATGAATATTAAATGTCTCCACTGCAGTGATTATAGCTGTGTTTCCTCCTTATAAAATAATATTGTCAACATTATTCTCTTACTCCAAAAACAGTACACATTTCTATGAACAAAAAAAGCCTGCGTTTAGGGGTTTAAATAAAATGGAGTTCTTTCTATAACATGTATAGAATTTAGGGTCACTTCCACCACTAATGTGTTCATATGAATAGTAATTGCCATAAAATTGTAGTTTCAAGTTTCTAAGAGCAAGTACATAACTTTTTATATACTTAAATTTGATACTATAATTTTTACAAATTTGAGTAAAAGTTCCTATTCATGCCACTATTACATACTTTGAACAACCTTTTTCATAACTCTTTATTGGTGACTTATAGTTGCCAATAAAAAAAAAAATACATTGCTGATTTTATTCAACTGGGCCAGGACTTAGTTCTTAACAAATACCTATGGCCATAGTTCATACAGATGACATTTAATTTCCCAGGGGACTTCAAGAAGTGCTGAAAAACAAACTACAAATTTATCCTCCCTTTCCTTCTGCACTGACCTAGGGCTCCTTTGCCCACCAGGCCCCCTGTGCCCTGCCAACATTCTGCCTGCTGCAGCTACTCTGGGAGTGCTTTTCCCTCCCTGAACTGCAGCTTTCAGAAACTGCTCATTCACTGGTGAATCAGGTCCCACCGGGGCCCTTCCATTTGACTTGTGGTGTATTTTTTAAAGTGATACCTCACTACATTCAGGAATAAATGAGTAACCCTATAACCCATGTTTAGTGTAATGTTTCTTGGCAATGAAAAAGTGAATAAAACCGAATTGATTCTATGACATAAATGAACCACTTGAAACACTTACTCTGCAGTATTACTATAAGTCAACATTTCCCATTAACCACCATAGTTAAACAAGTCCAAATTCCTGCTATGCTTCAAGGGTATGGCATAGAATTATGAGACTGAGTTTTAGTACTAAAATAAAGTTATTGCATAACATAGTTAAAAACTATGTTCTCCATGAGAAAATTATTTTAAAACCAGATTTGAAATGAACTTAAAATATTTTAATAACAGAACAAAAGTAAAAACAATGAATTAAAAATATGGTATTTCTGAAACATCCTTAGTAATTAAATATTTAATTTCATTTTAACTAAACTACTTAGAATATTATTGTTTTTATTTGAAAAGCAAATATCAAAAGAGATTTATTTTCTCCTCTGTTGAGCATGTTATCTACACAATATAAGTCAAATCACTTAGTTAAGGATGCTTGAAAATGAGTTCAGTGTCTAGTAGAAGTCTTTCTGTTTTATACATAATAAATTATCTTCCTGTGCCACCTAAATCCCCACTAAATACATGAAAAATAATAAAACAAATGCACCTGTAAGATAAAAATATGACTTCTCAGAGTAATTTCACTAAGTTAAAACTTTTTCGTTTGCTTATGACTTTTGAGCCTTCTACAATAAGACAAATGAGATAATTTCATAGCCCTCTGTATGTTACATCTTTGTTAGAAATGAGTTTCATGTCTGATTAGGTAACTTTGTATTCTTTTTGGAAAATGCACTGGTACTTTAGTTTTGTTTGTTTGTTTTGTTTTATGTTTGCTGCATTGAGGTTACTAAGCCAATGAAAGCCAAAATAAAAGACATGTAAGGCAGGAAGAAAAACTCCAAGGAAAATATATTGCTGGTAATTAAATTACCCATTTGAAAGTTAAAAACTTGAAGAACTGAATATTAACTAAATTTCATAGCAACAAGGATTTTGCTTGAACAAAGTCTCTGATAGTTCAGATTACTCAGGACATGTAAAAGAAGCAAAATTACAGTTAGTATGAAAATACCAGGTAAATGGAAGCAAATTTCTTCATCTTTACCTTACTATCTGGTAGCCAAGCACTTTAAGCATTAAATGGAAACTTGTAGATTTGCAATTACATTCATTGGCATAGGGTTTACTATGTCAATTCAAATAATAATTACATGAATAACTTTTTGTGAGGTTTATAGGACCTTTGTTACTATCTTTGGAGTCACAAAATCTGTCCAGGAATACGATAAACTTGACTTTGCTGTGACCATTTCATAGTAGGTTAAATGTCCAGTTGCCATATTCTTAAAGCCCAAAACTATGTTTTCAGTGACAAATTTGAGTTTGAATTATTTGGATCATTTTCTAATGTGAGCCATAAAAGTAGATAGCATAAATGCTTAAATGTGCTTTTTTGCATTTCTACAACCTAAAACCAGTTTGGTTGAAAAAAAAATAAAATTTAACAGCCTTTAATTTGTCATGTGGAACCTGATACCATGTGCATTTTATTACCTCCATATATTTATCTAAGTGAAACATAAAATGGTTGTAATAATGGAGAATTTAAAGTAGCTCTGGCACATGAGCAGTAATGCTAACTAATATGGTGAATAAGGGCTGAATGTAAATTCTCAGAATTTCTGTTTCTTGTGATATGTTTGCTAAAGTGAGTATATCTTGGATAACTGATAGAAACACACATAATCCTAATTAAGCTGTGAAGAGCTTTGATGGACATAATGTAAATACAGGGAATAATCATTTCTATACAAGCCAAAGCCTTGTGTGTGTATATATATTTTTTTTAATTTTCAAACTACAATACAGTGTACATTAAATCACAGAACCTGCCAAAATATAAACCCATTATCTCTTTGTATGCTGAATTAAGGCTCTAGTATTCTCATCTATGCATTCAGAGATAATCTACATATGGCATATATCAGTATAATCAAATATCACCAGTTCCTATTGATTCTACCTCATTTATAGCTCTTGAATTGAACCCTTTTCCATTTCTGTTGCCATTTGGATAGGCCTTCAATTATATTTTATATGAATTATTCCAATAACTACAGTTCTCTTAATGAGACCAGCATTTCAACCCTCCAGCCCATTTTTGTGTTTTTGCCAGATTTGTTTGCCCATAAAACAAAGTTCACCATGTCACCCCTCTGCTAATAAACTTCTGTCAGCTTCTTCTTAATCCATAAGATCAAGTCTAAAACCATTAACTTGACTTACGTGTTCTGAAACAGACCCTACCACACTTGTTAGTCTGTATTCAGCCTACTCTTAAAATCATACAGCACTCCCAAAGGTGCACAGAACTTGTCTATTCTTCCTTCTCTGCTTGCCTTCTACTACTTACTCATTCACATGCTACCTTTTATTCTAAAGCTTGCAGGACTCTTGAGATAAAATTAGTTGAATCATTGAAGTGTGTTCCTCCTACAATAGTTGGCTCATATTTCATTAGAAATTATATTTATTATATTTTATAATAGACCAATGTTTTTTATGTTCAGCTTTATTGAGGTACAAATCACCTGAAAATTACATATATTCAAGATTTTTTTTACTATTTTTTTATTTTAGTCATTCTGATAAGTGTGGGGTGATATTTCATTGTGGTTTTAACTTGTATTCCTCTAAAAGCTAATGTTGCTGAGCATCTTTACACTTTTTTTTTTTCCATCTGTATATCTATTTTGGTGAAATGTCTGTTTATGTCTTTTCTTTCTTTCTAATTAAATTGTTTGGGTTGTTTTTACTGTCAAATCATCAGAGTTCTCTGTATATTCTAAATACTAGTCCTTTGCTATGATGCATTCATACCGTATACTACTACTCAGTGATAAAAGAAACTGTTGATACATGAAACAACTTGGATGAATCTAAGTGAGAAATTCAAATGCCAAAATTTGCTTATGATATAAGTCCACTTATATCCATTCTTGAAATAAAAAAAAATATAGAACTGGATGACAGATTAGTGGTCATCAGAGTAAAGGAGGGAGTGGGGGCAAGTGGAAGTGGATGTGGTTATAAAAGGGCAATATGAGGGAACCTAAGGGAACCTTGTGGTGATGGGAATGTTCTGCATCTTGACTGTGTCAGTGTCAGCACTGTGGTTGTCCTGTTGTACTAGTTTGCAAGATATTTTCATTGGGGAAAACTGTAATGGGTACACTGGACTCCTCTGTGTTACTTTTTACAACTGCAACTGAATTTAAAATTATCTCAAAATAATGTCTACTTATTATTCTCCAGCTTTATTAAGGTATAATTTACAAATAAAAATTGTATATATTCAAGATGTACATTATGTTTTCATATATTGTGAAATAATTATCACAATGAAGCTAATTACATATCCATCACTTCATAAAGTAACTTTTTGTGGTGAGAATACTTAAAATCTACTTTTCTAGTTAATTTCAAATATATAATACATTATTTTCCCTCTTGCTACCATACATTAATTATAGCCATCATACTGTACATTAGGTCTCCAAAACTTACTCATCTTATAACTGTAAGTTTGTATCCTTTGACCAACATTTCCTTATTTCCCCCCATCCTTGACCCTTGATAACCATAGTTGTACTCTTTGCTTCTATGTATTTGGCTTTTTTTGATTCTGCATATAAGTGAGATCATGCAAGATTTGTCTTTATGTTCTGGTTTCCTTCACTTAGCATAAGGTCCAAGAAGTTCATCTATGTTGCAACAAATGGCAAGATCTCCTTCTTTTTTAAGGCTGAATAATATTCTGGGGTGTGTGTGTGTGTGTGTGTGTACATATATCCATTGACAGACTCTTAGGTTGTTCATTCATCTTGGTGATTGTGAATAATGCTTCAATGAACATAGGAGTGCAGACACTTCTTTGAGGTACTGATTTCATTTCTTTGGGGTATATATACAGAAGAGAGATTGCTGGATCATATGGTGGTTCTATTTTTTAATTTTTTTAGGAAACTTAGTACTGTTTTCCATAATGGCTATAGAAATTTATATTCTCACTAACAGTATACAAATGTTCCCTTTTCTCCACACCCTTGCCAGTACTTGTTATCTGAGGTGTTTTTGAAAATAGCCATCCTAACAAAAAAAAGAGGTGATATCTAATTGTGGTTTTGAGACAGTATAGGGAAGAGACTCAGTCCTGGCAAATAACGGACATAATAACCAAGATCCCAGTGAGCCTCACATGTCCAGGCATACTCTCTCCACTACCTTCCTGCCTCTCTTAACAAACTGATATGCCTATAAATTTATAACATTCTGAGCTCCTTGAGGACAAAGGTAACTGCATTTATATTTGTATCTTTAGTGCTTAACACAGTGAATGTTCTCATTAAACTTTTGTTGAATGAATGAATGAATCCTGGAAGATCTGGAGAAAAGAATAACACAAAAATGTTATTAGGAAGTTGCTGAATATAGAAAGACTATTCCAACAGTCATAACGTATTCATTAAGAATGTCTTCAGACCTCTTTGTATAAACCAATCTTTTTCTCACCATCTACAGAATGATATGTTTTTCATCAGAATGATAAATCTCAATAGTAAAATATTTTAATTTTACATGACTTCAGTGTATAAATTTACAAAAGAATATCGATTCTATAAATAGACATTTACATTAATTTAATATAGACGCATATGTAGATACAGGCCCATAGATCTTGTCATTAAATGTTTACCTCCTACCGATCTCACTAGCTATCATCTATTTATATCTGCTCACGTATATGAAATCAGGCCATAAACTAAGTCAAATATTCTCTAGAAAAGATTAAAGATTCGTAGTGCTAGAATACTATGAAACTTATACTGACCTTCAGATTACTGGCCTGAATATGACTGATTCATGAAGGGATTGTGAATTTTGTAAGCAAATAAAACCTTGTGAGAGCCTAAACATTATTGACTATGTTTAGATAGATAATATAACATTACTTTGTATTTTATAATTTTGTATCAGAGAACTCTGCATAATAATAAGCACTCTATTGGGTTTAACATAGCATAATAATAAGCACTCTATTAGGTTTAATGTCATTTTCCGAACCAATAATAGGCTTGAATTAAGTAGTAAGGCCCTTGCCAAATGTCTTTTTAATTTTCAAAATGTTTTACATTCTAATGTAAAAAGCAGATATCAATATTTATAAGTCAAACAGAATACTTCAATTTGATATGAGAAACATACTCGAATACCATAACAAAAACTTCTTTGTTTCATTTCTATGTGTGAAAATGTCTGTCACTTACATGTATTGTCTTCTAATTGAGGGCATGATCACTATTAGAATTATGTATAATCAAATATTGCATTTTTTCACAAGAACAAAGTTTCAAATCCAATACTAGATAATATAAAAATCTATTTGACCTTTGTAAAATTACATTCAGTGATAACAAATTTAATTGCCTCGTATAAAAAGCCAAAAATATCATCAAGTCATAGAAGAAAATAAATTTTGAGTCTTTTACTTTAAGATTAAATACTGAAATTATTTTAATTATATTTTCTTTGCAACTTTTATTGATATAATATTATTATATTCTTAGTTTTTTTATTCTATATTAGTTCTTGAAATAACTAAAAATACTTTATGCTGTATCATAATTTCCCACTATTGCACACTCTTCACTTGTTGCCTAAGAACAAGCTAAGAATCATGAGCATTAAAACCATTTTTTAAAATGTGATGAACCAATAAAAAATTAAAGGTGCACTTGAGTCTGCTAGATCAACACATTCTTATAATCCCCTCAAGGCCATCATACAGTTTGGCATCAACATTAAAGCTTTGAAAATTATATGACCATCTATTACATTTTAGATGTCACATGTCCTCAGACCTTTTCTATTATAACACAAGACAGAGTTACCATTTTTTAAAAGATCCCTCTGTTATTGATAGTTGTCTAAGGTGCTTCTTCCTTTTCTTTTTCAGAATGAAGAATAAATTTTGGTATTTTGAGTTTGGCACATCTGAAACTTTCTCAGCCACCTGCAAGAAGCTACATGAATCTGTAGAAATAGAAGTAAGAAAAAAATGAATTCTCTTTTGTAATACAATGAAATGGCTTGAGCTTGGTTGTTAGTATGTTTGCATTGGAGCCCATGGAATGAAATATATATTAGCAATCCACAGAGACTTACTCAAGATTTTAAATTGTCATTTCTTTCACTCATTTGGAATATAGCACTATCTGACATATTAAAGTTAAGTGTAGATATGGGTTGTTTTATGATAGTATAAAAGAATGAGAAGTGGAACACAACTTTGGAAATCGATGCAGTTGTTACTGGGCATAGTGCAGCTAGAAAGGTGTAAGATAAAAGCAGCTGAAAAGAAAAAAGTTGCAGAATACATAAAAAATATTATTTTCGGGTCTCAATATCGTATAACCTTTAAAACACAGTTTGCTAAAATTGTACTTACTTTTATGAATAAAGGTTAAAAAGTATACTTTTCCATTCCATTCCCATTCATTAACTAGGTTTTCTCAGTTCCCAAGGTTGCCATTTCCCCATTACATTTATAGAAAGTGGAAATGCCAAGAAAGAGAGCAAAGATAGCAAGAAAAGACACATTTTAAAAAGACTTGGAGCAAATAGGTCTATAGAAAAAAAAAGACACTGTAGGACTCAAAATTTTGGAGAAATATTATAAAAGAAAATGCGTTATATTGAGAGATTTTTAGGGGTCAAAGAAAAAAGAAAAGTTGTATTTTGATAAATGATAAAGACAAAACCAAAAGAACAGAATTATGAAACATGAACACTTAATGACTAGTTGATATAAATTAAGAAACATTGGCTTCAACGCTTTTCATTTTAAAAATAAATGCAAAAATTTGCTACTGATACTTAAATCATTAGTTGCTTATATTCAGGTAATAAGTTTGGTAAACAGAAGTAGTTATGGACCACATAATGGCCTGACTAGGTTCTTCATTATCCTAACTTTCCAATTTGCTGTTGTTAATGATACTACTACTCTCGGTGTAACCTTTTAGCACTTTTATCTCATCATGATTGGTAAATATAATTACGTATTAGAATTGATGGTCACTGAATGGAAACAAACCCTTCATAATGGGATCAGATCATAACCTTTGAAAGGAACATAATAACAGAGGTGAAGGATTTGGGTTCAACATGGACTTTCTGTTATTATTATTTAGGATGATATATCTGTGTATAGGTATGATATATGTACACATATAACTGTATACAAAAATGATATATATAACACATATATAACTATATACATGTATATCTATGTTACTATATATGTACTAGTTACATATTTAGTTATATATTATATATGACATATAACTACATAGTTAAATATTTAGCATATATAGTTATGTGTCATATGTATTGTTATATACATATAAATATTTATGTGTATATATATTCAATAAAATATATACATTCCCCCTTTACTCTGAGAATCATTATTTTTTTAAAAAACTGCTTTATATACTAGATTTTGAGTATTTCTTAACCTCAAAAATTATGCTCAAATACAATTCGCAGCAGAAGCTGAAAAGTTTTAGAAAAATTAGAAGTATGGCTTTGGTTGAATGTATGTGGAGATCCTGAATCCTCCTGCACCTCCCTTTACTTTATTCTACCCTTGAGCACAGATTGAAAAGCCATTGATCTATAAAATAAGATTCTATGTGTCACAAAGTAAAAAAACAAACAACCGAACAAAAATCTTTAAGTGTTGTATTTACAGCAAAATATTTTGAAGGAAAATACATTTGAAAATGGTGATTTGTAATGTGATAAATGATGATAAAATTAAGTGGTTTTGATCCACAGAGCTTGAGATCTTAAACTATTTAGAATGTTCTCCAAGAAATCTGGGCCTATAGAACTAAGTTAATGTTTCTTGGAGTGCTGTTTCCACTTACTCTCTCAGCCTGGCCTTCTAGCTCTGCATCCCTGGCTTATTTTGGGTGCTATTACATAATATTTATAAATCACAGCTGGCACTGTGTGCATGCCCCCTTGTATTTTTGCATATCTTGGGGAGTGTGTGTGTGTGTGTGTGAACAGCAAGGCAAAATCTGCTTCTCTGCTCACTTTTTAATGAATCCTGTCTATCATATTAGCAGAATATGCCTTTCTACCCTCAAGGTTAGTTTATAATTAAATATAACAAAAACAGCAATTCGAAGATTTGATTCTGTTTGTTGTTGCTTCCTATTTGTCCTAAAATTATACCTACTATGGTTTGAAAAATATATAACAGAATAAACTACTTCAGTAAAAACAGAACCTCCAGCAATAGATAACGTGTTTTATAGGCAGCTTTTTCAAAATCAAACTCTCTTTTCTGTGTCTTTTTTATTTACTATTTCTCTTTCACATATGAGTTCCTTTGAAAGAGGGCAAACATTTGGGTTGATATGAATATCATGGAATAATAGTTAAGATTTACCTATTATTAACTGCTTCACAGGTGATGCTAAACAATGCACATATATTATTTGATTTAGTCTTCATCAAAACCTTATGATACTATTATATCTCCATTGCAGAGATAAACATTTTCTTCAGTAATTTAAGAGAAATAAGAATTATGTTGCTGCCACAATCTTTAAATCTAATGAGCAAATTGATTGAAAAATATATATATTTACACATATATGTAGAGTTAATGATACATAAAGTAGAATTTTTTAAAGATATTCATTTATCTTCTAACTTTATTACAAAAGATAAAAATAAATTTTTTAAAGTTACAAGAAAATATTTTAAAACCAATGTTTATATTAAAGTATTTGGGTGGGGGTGAAATGTGTGCCTAAGAAACTCAGGTCAGCATTTGGAATTGAAGATAACAGAGTTCATGAATGTTTAGTTTGCTCAGGGTACTGGGCAAAGTTAATGAGAGAATAAGAAAGCCTATTCTATAGATATTTCAGTCTTTTGGTTGACAGGGAGACTGGGAAAGATGGTAAATTTTAAAGCCTAGAATTTCCATCCCAAAATACTGATTTATTGTAATTATTAAATACTCCTAGAAACCTAAATGATCTCAAGAATTAATAAATGGCATGAGTAGCATCAAAAACACAAAATAAATTAGCAGGATTCAAAAGACAATTGCTCAGTAACCTGGAAAACAGAGTTCTTAAAGGCAATAGCCAGAATTCCCAAGCACAGTCTCTGCCTCATGTGTCCTAATACCGAAATTACCTATAAAATAATGTTTTAGGTTTCATCTAGTAAAAATAGAAATTTTTATCTGATATAGACATAGAATCAGACCCACTATGGAAAAAAATTACAGTTTATCATTAATTGTATCTCATCACATTTACCATCCATACTCCAAAGTTCTTCGCATGTTTTAAATAGTCCTATCAACTGACATATTAAGTGGATCTGAAACACTAAAGTCACATATAAAGCTTGTTTTTAACACCTCTGTACAATGTGACTCAGGACTCATTTATTCATGGATTAAAACACATTGGCAGAAAAACTGAAACTGTCTTCTTTTCTTTTAGATAAATTTGTCTCTGGAATAAGATCTTCCATTCTAAAACTGAAAAGAGTGGACAATGGCATCACAGCCTTGCACTCTATAAATAGCTCCCATAGTACTATATGTTAACGACCTTTTTTCTACCTAATAAAAATACTCAGGATTTATTGACTAACTGAGGCTGTTAGCTTTTAAGCTTTTATATTCTTTTCCTCTGTAGCTACCTTTTTAAAAGTCATAAATCTCAAAAGGAATGAAAATATTATCTGACACAGTAATATAACTTGTTTATATTTCATAGCCTTCACCTCAGCTTTTATTTTCATGCACTCAACTGGTGTGCTACAATTACTGGTCTCCATCAGAACCAGCACTGAAATTTTCCAGACTAATGAACATAATGTTAAAGCAAACAGAGGAAGGTAGCCTGGGGTCAAGAACAAGTGGAAACAAATCATTAATAAATAGCAATTTATTTAAGTACATTGTCCTGCTCTCAAAGGAACGTCAATGTTCTTCATCAGTTCTTGTTCTTTGCGACTCTTTCAGAATTTTTTTTTCACTTCTCAGAGAGCTACTTACTCTGTTTCCCTAAAACTAAACATGACAAGACTCTGAAGAGTGAAAACATGAATAATGGCATACACTGATGTTTTTCAATTGTCACATGTAACTCAGCTGGTTCAATTTTTAAAAAAAAAAAAAAAAAAAAAAGAAGCCTCTTTGCAACATGCTCTCCTTTTCTGCAGATGAACAAAGGAATCCTCCTTCACTAATTCTGAAAGTAACTTGTCACAGTGGGGTTCTAAGGCCTAGTCAAATAATTGTCTTAGTGTACTACCTGCTGTGTTCAATATTGAGTGAAAATGGAAGCCAGGCCCCGACTCCAGCTTATTTCATGATTCTTCTGTTATTTAAATGATTTTAGTCAGTTTGGGGGAAGCCAGACCTTTATAAATTAACAGCAGGGAAATACCAAAGGTGTCAGATTGCATATTTATCATCTTTTTCGTGTAATACTTAAATATGTATTAAGAAGTGACTGACATAAATTAGGCAGATTTCAGAAGCCACAGGCCGTGGCTTGTAGAGGACCCCCTTCTGCTTGACATTTCATCCTTGTCAAAGATCAAATTATTTTAATTTAGGCTGCAAATTATAAGGAATGAAGACTTCTTTGTGGGAATTCCCTGTGGTAATCTGACTTTTGTTGTTACTGCTGCTTGTCAGTGTGCAAAAGATATAATATGCATGCAAATAAGGTTAAAAAATATGTACTATCTAATTATCCAGCCAGTACATTCCACTTGAAGACAGTGGGAGGCCTGACACACAGTATGTGTTTGATTCATTGAGGCCTGCAGGGTATTTACACAAGATTACTTTTAATTATGAAATTAATATCTGTTTATCTAGAATATATAGCGGTAAGTGAGTATACACATGACCAGAATTCTTTAGTAAAAAGAAATCATCTTAATTTAGCACAAGAAAAGGAGGAAAAAAGCACTGCTTT